TAAGGATTTTTATTTAAAACCTCCATCTAATGGTCTCACGTAGAGACGAGAGAGACGACTCGAAGGCTTTTCTTAAAGGTAGAGTTTGTTCAGACATTAAATGCCTGGCTTTTGTCTACTCTATATGTATTTTAAGTGTAGGAGAGCCATGCTTCGGCACGAATGGGCCGGCTCGACCGGAGTGATACCACGGCCGAGCAGAAAACCGACGTGAAGCAACGCTTGCGTTGTGTTTCGTCGTGTGGGTGAGGTTTATCATCATCAACAGCCTATAAGTGCTCGCTGCTGCCCAAAGCCTCTTCTCACACGGAGAAGGTTTGAGCATTAATCACCACGCTTACTCAATGCGGGTTGGCATGTGGGGTCTGTTGCATTGGTGAGGTTACCGGAGGTCCAATTACCCAGTCCAGTTGCTCAAAATTAGTATGCTTATTTCAAGTATGTTGACAAATCGATAGGCGCTCGTTTTTTTACTATTTTTGAGCACGCTCTATTGAACGCTTTTCAGCATACGAATCTGAAGAACTCCTAGCCCAAATGATTGTCGCGGAGAACCTAACGGGTAACCGGGGCTCGGTGGCGCTGTAGGCTGGGTCGCTCCGTTCCCTACGAAATGGTTGATCGGACCGATTGCTGGCCCTCACGTCATGCTCGTGAACGGGCGCCTTCTGCTGGAGCAGGTCGGCTCGCTCATCGCGCGTGTGGGCCGATCCAGTAAGGTTAATGTAAATGTAGTAAAACATGTATTGTGTATTTATAGGTAGATATTAGACACAACTTCTTTGAGAAAAAAAAAAAAATGTGGTGTAGCACGTAAGATTTCTGTAACAATTAATTTAGACTGTAAATTAAAAAAAAATGTAATGAAATGACAAGGGCACGGACAAGAGTCCGTGGAGAATAAGAAATGTAATTCATAATGGGGCTCGGCTCGACGTGCAGGAGAAGGAACGGGGTGGTTTTTAGTCAGTCTCGAGTCTGAGACTTCCTCCCGCCTCACCCAGGCGGGAGCAATCATTCGATGATTTTCCCCCCTTAAAAAAAACCCCAATTGATTCGAAAAAATACATTGTGTTAGTATAGCCTATTATATCGAGAAAAGCGTTATGCCATAAAATATCACGCTATACCTAATTGCAACAGCGCAGCAGTGGGTAAAGGACGTGGAAAGAGCTACATACATACATAACATCACGCCTTTTATCCCCAATTAGGCAGATGTGCAGATTACGGCACTCGATGCCACTCTATAATGTAACACCCACTTTTTAATATTTCCGTTATGAGTCCCATGTAATACTATACAGATTTTTTCAAAAAGTCCAATAATATTTTTCACGACGCGGGAATTAAACCCGAGACCCCTTGCGCAGCAGTCGCACAGGCCCTTTTGGCATGAACATGCTCAAATTAACATTAGTATTTTGTTTATTTGATTTGTTTTTGTATATTCAAAATTCTGTTATTACCTATCGTATTATTATTTTGTTACACTGTGATGTATTTTGTTCTGATCTTTTAAGTTTATTATTAGTATTTTGTTTATGTATTTGTATTTTTTTTTATAATCTTTATTTTTTAAGTTACGTTTTAGACTTAAATGTGTCAGGAAATGTGATATTGCATTGGAATAAACTGTAAGATGTCATATTGTAAGGTGTTGTAATAAATAAAAATAAAATAAAAATAAATTTTGTGTGTTTGCCAAATTGCCAAATAAATGTTTTTCTTTTTCTTTTTTTGTTATTTTTTTTCACATGCGACCACTCGGCCAACGAGGCACAGCTAACATACAACGAAATCCTCTGGCTGTCTACTCAAGATATTAAAGCGTGCTTTAAAATTGTTTACGTTACTTAAAACACTAATTAACTCATTGTTTTTATACTAAACAACATAGTAATTTTCAATTACTAGGCAAGCTCTAAACAACGACAGCAATTTGTTGTTTCATTAAACACGACGACGTACGACTACATAGAAATTCTTATCTTAAGACTGACTGATTAACTAGAAATCGCACGTTATATATTATACATATTTTTTCATTACCTAACTGACGGACTAACTCGATTTTTATTTTTATACCCTGTCATCATCCCTATTACAGCCAAGCGCGACTTTTTTTTTTTTTTATGGCATAAGCCGGTAAACGAGCAGACGGATCACCTGATGGAAAGCAATCGGCGTCGCCCATGGACACCTGGAACACCAGAGGCGTTACAAGTGCGTTACCGGCTATTTGTGGATTAGGAGTTTGAGGATTGTTGGGGATTCAGGGATTGGGGAGATTGGGGAAGGGGAGGGAAATTGGGCCTTCTGTAATCTTTTTCACTCGACGAAACACAATGCAAGCGTTGCTTCACGTCGGTTTTCTGTGAGGCCGTGGTATCACTCCGGTCGAGCAGGACCATTCGTGCCGAAGCATGGCTCTCCCACACTTACGACTTCAAATTGAGTTACGTTTCAGTATTTGGACATTAACAACTTATTTCTTTATAATGTTACCCTACACTATATTCTCCTGTGTCGTGGATTACAAACATACAATTTCACATACACATCACACCTAGACCCGCAACAACGATTTGTAGATCACATAAAGTATTTTATTCTGAAGTCATCACAGACATGGTTTACGACACCTTTCGTCTAAAATCCAGTCTTTCAGTCAGTAGTACCGGGTAGATATATTAAGTAGCGGTTCGCCCTGCTTCCCTTGGGATCAATTTCCCAACTTTTCCTACCAAATTGACCCAATTTTTCTTTCATATAAACCTTGTCCTGACAATAAGGAACACGACAAGAAAAAAATTATCCAATTTGGTGCAGTACTTTGGGAGTTATGACTGTACTGTATATGTATTTTGGTGAGAATTTTTAACAGACTTCCCAAAAAAGAGGAGGTTATCAACTCGGCTGTATGTTCTTTTTGTGTGTTACCTATATGTACACAACCGATAATATATAAGGTACTAGCTACTTCCGCGCGGTTTCACTCGCTCTGCTCAGCTCCTATTGGTCGTAGCGTGATATTTTAAAGCCTATAGCCATCATCGATAAATGCGCTATCCAATACAAAAAGAATTATTCAAATTAGACTTGTAGTTACGGAGGTTAGCGCGTTCAAACAAACAAACAAACTCTTCCGCTTTATACCTCTATAATAGTATATAGAGGTAAGATTTGAGAATAATTTTTGTATAAAACTTGTGGCACCGACTTCTCACCCATCAGTGAGTGGCCCAACCTATAAGTACGTGTGACTAATAATATTTATTTTTTGCTTTTTAATGGTGACCTTTTAATCTAATTGTTTAAATTGTCTTGAATATGAGTAAAGTCGAAGCATCTATTCCAATCAATCCTTAAACAGGCACGTTTTAAACGTCAACTTTAAATTGTCGTTCAGTTTATCAGTCAGTGAAGCTAGGTGCTCGTTCCAAAATGTCGATTCGTATGGAGAAGAACGAGCAAAAAAAGTCAATCATAATTAAATAATCGTTTGAAGGTTTAGCAATATCAAGAAGTTGTTTTGTGTTATCAATCTTACTTTTTGATTGACTTCCCATAAATAGAGGATGTTCCCAATTCGTCTATATGTTGTTTTTTTTTTGTGTGTGTGTGTGTGTTAACCGATTACTCCGGCATTTGTAGACGGATTTCGATTATTCTTGTTTTGTTGTAAAGGTTTTAGTTCCTTCGGTGAACTGTTGCAGGAGACAGAATGACATATCTAAAGGCACAAAAGAGGCCGCGGAAGGCCTAACGGGTTGCCGGGGCTCCAGCTCGAAGTGCAGGAGTAGGAACGGGGTGGTTTTGAGTCAGTAAGAGTCTGACGATCTTTCTCGCCTAACCTAAGGCGGGAGAAGTCATTGGATGACTTTTTCCCTCAAAAAAAAAGGCACAAAAGAGACTTTATGACTGGGAAAAGCCCAGCTGCCAAGTCCAGTTGTATTAATGGTAATACAAGAAAGTCATAACATAATATGTAGAGAATACTTGTTACATTGTATATCTCTTTGTAATGTTATGTTATGTTATGTTATGTTAAAAATATAACGCAGCCCTGTTGATTCCACGATTCTTGTTTATTTTTTTGCAGTACATTTGGTTTATCCGCAAATTTTATACGCACGTATTGATTTCAGTATGCGTATTAAAAATATATACCATTTTTCGTTTTGTTGGTCAAATGAATCAATCTTTATAATTATGAAAAACTATTGTTTTATATTTAACTATTAGATGAAAATTTGTTTTGTCTTATTTATTTGTGAAAAATTAGACAAAAATATGGATCCTATAATAAATCAGTTATGTTATGTTTTTTATCGGCATTTCTAGATTATTTTTATATATTTGTTTAGATGTAATTATAATGTTATTCTTTATTATAAAAAATAAAACAAATATTTGTACTGGAAACTTTCTATAAATGGTGATTTTAAATTAAAATCTAAAATTAAATGCGATGTTAAATAAATTATATTCAAAGAACTCTACAGTCTCTTACAAAAGAGGAAAACATGTATTATATTTCAAATATCCCTTTTATAATACAAGATGTATGTATCTAAAAAAAATATAAGTATTTTTTACAAAAATGATTCTAACATATTATATGATATCAGTTTAAACTCCAGTTTTATGATATCATTTGCTTAGCGTATACGTAGTTTGAGACGTTTCATATAAAAATTCGTCAAACTATTCGTCAATTATTTTAATAATACCTTTAATAATTCATCGTCGAAAATAAGCCAATAATCTTGCCTTTACAAACGCGAAAAACTGAAGACAATTTTCCACAAAAATTTTCTGAAAAACTCAAAGAATTTAAAAGAAAATTTCATGACGAACTAAAAACCGGTACGTTTTATCTCACCCACGAGCCGACCTGAGAAAATAAAAAATGCCGAAAACGGCCAAACGTTCCGTATATTACAAACCAACGGCCGAGTATTCCGAAAAAAAAAAACAATATTACGGTAACTTACCTCGAGAAATTTTCTTCGCCCGAATAAATATTTTTTTCAATAAACTGCACAGTTATTTACACTCGCGTTGTCAAAGTGTTATTTTATGTGTATATTGTACGTTTTTTTTTAGTTACGATTGGCGGGTGTAAGCGTCCGCTCGCGACGGCGGCTCAAAATCGACTGAGTCGGCGTTGGATCCCCGACTATATGTATAGCCGTCGGTGTAGGTATGTTTGGCTCGGGCACTGCGAAACAAGAGTATGTTGAAAATCAAGCGGGTCCTTTTTTTGTCAATCTAGCTTAATAATGAGTTTAGAATGAATAAGCGGGGTGTATAATTTGGAATGTTCAATGATGATAGTAGAGTGTTCAATTTCTTCTTCTCTGTCGTTTCGCTCTTGGCAGAATGGTCGTGGTCACGTTGAGGCGGCCGTTTTTGTGTTGGTGGCCGATACAGCTTTCCTCATGATCTCCCGTCATCTCTCCCTGTTTATTCGGAGTCGCGGAGAACCTAACGGGTAACCGGGGCTCCGGCTCGACGTGCAGGAGTAGGAACGGGGTGGTTTTTAGTCAGTAAGAGTCTGACACTCCCTTCAGTCAGACATTCAATTATTTTCCCCCCTTAAAAAAAACTCTCCCTGTTTGTAGATTGTCTGGCGCAGTCTGACACTGGGTTTCCCGTTGCTTGATCAGTCCAGCGCATAGGTGATCTGCCTCGTGATCTGGTTCCCTCTACTTTCCCCTGAACGACCAGCCGCTCTATGGAGTTGTTATCACGATGGAAGACATAGCCGAAGTACTGCAGTATGCGCGTCTGTACTATGGTTGATAGACGCTTTGTGATGCCGAGTTCTCAGAGTATAGATACGTTGGTGCGGAACTCAGTCCACGATACACCAAGCATCTTCCTCCAGCACCACATCTCCAGAGCATCTATCTTCGCCTTTTCTAATTCACGTACTGTAGACGTCTCTGCCGCGTAGCACATGTGTTGAACTTAAAATATTTAAATTCAAATTGATGTGACGAATAAGTAAGCGAACGAACAAAATTCTAATTGACTTGGAACATGAACATGTATCTATCAGTACCTACTAATACAATGACTTATTTGTGCATGTTACTTGTTTTTTAGTGAGATTTTTTTTTCTTTTTTAACGGTTTTTTAATTATTTTTTCCGACGTAATAGCATAAGTTTTTTCAGTGAATGTAAAACCACTTTTTGGTATAATCACGACAACGGGTATATCCTTTTTTATAGCATGAACCGGTAAACGAGCAGACGGATCACTTGATGGTAAGCAATCGGCGCCGCCTATGGCACTCGAAACACCAAGGCGTTACAAGTGCGTTACCGGCCTTTTGGGAATTGGGAATTTGAGGATTGTGGAGGATTCGGGGTTTCGGGAGTCGGGGACTAGGGATAATTAGGTAATTGAGCCTCCGGTAACCTCACTCACACAACGAAACACAACGCCAGCGTTGTTTCACGTCGATTTTCTGCAAGGCTCTTTCTATACCTTTCAATTCGAAATTCAGTCTGCCATATCATAACATAACATCACGCCTTTTTATCCCCGGGGTGGGCAGAGGTGCACATTACGACACTTATTGACACTGTACAATGTAACACCCAATTTTCACTATTTATGTTATGAGTCCCATGTAATATAATAGGGGGTGAGCCTATAGGGGTAGGTCAATTGCCATATACCGGGCTCATTTCCCATTTCTCATTTCCAAACTCTGTGCTACTACTGAGTTTTTTTAAAAACCCAGTAAATCTTAGTCCGACCCGGGAATCGAACTCGAGACCAACGGGGCGGTATAATATTTACATTCTCATTAAATAACCAGTCCGGAAATACACTCATCACTACCGAAAACACACAACCTCTATGGACACCGAAGTCGGTTAAACATAAAATTGCAATTCAACACTTACGTCATTCTCGCAGTACGACTAAAGCTACCCTCTGTTTAATATAGATATACAAATATATATGTATGTATCCACAGCTAACGGACTGTTTTAAATAACACATGGTTATAATCTGTATGTCTGTACGTTGTCAAGTTTTATTTAAAGCTTGTGGGGTAGGCAGAGAAGGTTGTATTGTGTTCGAAAGAAAATATGTGTTTTCTTTCCTAGATTGAGGCTTTGGTTTTTTAAGTGTGCTTTATATGTGGCCACCATGTTGGAAGCAATCATTCACAGCTTTTTTAAAATTCATGGTTGGTTCAGTAGTACCATTAAACTGTCAAACACCAAGCGGTCACCGGTGACCGCAACCTATTGTTCTATAATAAAATTGTGTCTACAAAACCGGTACTCGACGAGTTAATGAAATTCACAATCAGTCAATATAAGTATGTAGGTACGAGTCAAAAATATCTTTTCACATTCATAAAGCAATCAAATAATTATTCATAGAAATTATACATCAATAATTGACAAAAAAAAAGAGAACATAA